GGCATGTACTTACAGTAGTGCTGGGAGCTGTGAGTCTAGTGATTACTGTTTGGACCGGAGCCCCACACATCACCTTTCGGGGGGGGGGGGAAGAAAGACGGGAAGGGATAGCGGGAGCTAGACTGACCCTACCTTAACAAGCAGCTGGCAATCAAACTATCACTTTTGGGGTGGGGGGGAAAAAAAGGCGGGAATAGCTGGAGCTAGACTTGCCTTACCTTAACAAGTAGCTGGCAAGCAAACTATCACTTTCGGGAGGGGAAAAATGGTGGGGGATAGCGGGAGCTGGACTTACCCTACCTTAACAAGTAGCCGGCAATGAAACTATTGTTACTATATCGCTACTCCTATCTATTGAACTTTTCCCTCACAAAGACCCCCACCTCCTTTGATGCACCTATAAATTCATTTCTTCTGCCCTAAAAGATGTTTGAGCCTATTATTCATCCATTTTGGGTCATTTCTATTAGATCTAATTTCTTTATATGGAATAAACGTTCTTTGGGCAGCATGTATAGCGTTCAGAAAACTCTCAAATTAATAGCTCTCTTCGTTACCCCAGTCAACAGATGATAAGTGTTCTCTAAGCCCATTTAATCTGCTAAATGAAAATCTGGGACCGTTACTGAGTTATCCCTATATCATACTTTCATTCAGATTTATGGTCGCTTGCACCAAGTTCCTCTGAAATGTCTGAATTATTAAAGAGGGATTCCCTGTTTGCCAGAACCAAGTCAAGCAGGTTATTTTCCCTTGTAGGTCCTGTCACAAGCTGCTTCAAAAAAACAATCCTGAACTACCCCTAAAAAGTCGTTGGAACTTTAAATTCCCAGTCAAAGAATTCCAACCAATATGGCTAAAGTTAAAGTCTCCTAGAATTACTACGTTATTGTGCCATGTGGCCCTACAGTTTCCTCCCACAGTAGTCTTCCTTGGTTTCTATCCAGGTTTGGGGGACGGTATATCATGCCTAAAATAATTTTTTTCATGCCCTTTTGAAAAAATTCTACCCAAACAGACTCAGTATGTGTTTCAGACTTTATACCCGTTTTTATGCAACAATTTAAACGATCACGGACATAAAGTGCCACCCCACCCCCCCCTTCCCAATGCTTTTGTCTACTTGGAACAATTTAAAACCCTGAATGTGACATTCAGCAGGCATGTCACTATTTTTCATATTAACGTCTCGGTTATAGCAAAATCTTCAGTGTTACCCGCAGTTGCAACTATTCTCAACAAGTTTATCTTATTTCTCACACTACGACTATTAGTATAATATATTTTCAGAAACCCTCCCTTCTCTTTTATCTTCCAACTGATTTCTGTTCCTCCACTATGCCTGTTAATCTCCTTATGGCCTAATGCCACTGGCTTTCCTATATTCACCATTTAACTCTACCTCATTCTGCCTATAACTGGTTTCCCTAAAACTCACACTATCGCTACACTCAGAATTCATTGCTCTTCCACATAAACCACTTCCATATCTATTTCTAGTTTAAAGACCTAACAGCTCCTTCCACCGAAAACTTAGATAAGTGAAACTCCATCTCTGGCATACATGTCACTTCTGACATAGAAGAGGTCCCAGTTGACTATGAATGTTACTGAATTTTCCTTAGTGTTTGTCCAGCCAGCAATTGATACCAATTGCCCTGGACAACCAATCATTTCCAACTCCTCTCCTGGGCAAAATGCCACATATTGCAGGGTTCCCACCATTCTTCCTAATTATCTCTATTGCTGTCCTATACCTGCTAGTCAGGTCTCCACTCCTACATCTGCCAACTTCGTTACCTCCCTCACTGAGGCACGTAATAGAATTGCTCCCATTACCCTTCATGATATCGTCCAGACGGCTAACAATATCCCCCATCCCAGCCCCAGGAAAACACACCCACTTTCCATCAATTTAACCTGACTGTTCCCAACTAAAATAATGTCTTACCTTCACTGACGGAGTTCGTCGTGACGTTATCGATGGTCATCGTTGGGGTTTCAAGGGATGTCGACTCACCCTCCTTTCCCAATGCTTCCTTGGTGCTCGTTGTGACATTCCCAGCAGACACCCCACATTCGTCGGGTAGCACCGAAAATGGGTTGGAAGTTTCCTCAGTAGTTTTCTGGATCTTTATTGTTTCTTCCACTCCTAACAATCTTCTTGATTTTCAGCTTCATTCCATGTTGCCCGGCCACTGACCAGGTTCCTCCCTTGACCTGAGGACTCACAACAGGAGGATTACTACGAGTCCTCTTGTTTTCCTCCGTCGGTTTTGAAACCATTTATCACAACTATCACCAGAACCTTTCACACCTCTTCCATTAACTATCATCACCCAGCACAACCACTGTTTTCATCATCAACATCACCATCATCACTAACAAAATTACAACATCTGATAACTTTATTTATTCCTACTACAAAAATAAATGCTTACTTTTTACTCAGTCTTTTTTTAATAATAAGTTACACTTGTGTACAAGTAATAATATATCATAGGTATAGAGTAAGGTCAAGACAGTGTCATACAACTCTAGCCAAATATTATTAGAATATCATTCTTCGAAATACGTAAAATACGCAAATATAACTCTTAAAATAAATACATATATAAATAAATTTCTATGCTCCACGAAATATAAAATTTATGTAACAAAAAAGGCACATTACCGTAACTGTAATAATACACAATTATCCTGCACATAAGTATAGAGAGATGAGGTAACCACTTCATTGGCCATCACTCTCTGAGAAAATTAAGGACATCATGAAGAGGGATGTTAGTGAAGAGGGACTTAACGTCAAGACTAAGCATCCTACACGTCGAGAGAGCGAACCCTTTCGATGAAGTCTTGAGAGTGAGGAAGGTGAGCAGGAGAAAAAGGCCAGCTAAAAGTAAGAGAATAAGAGACAGAACCTCTAGAAGATATGATGGGACGTAAAGGAACATCAGGTTTATGAGTTTTGGGAAGGTCATAGATATGGCGGAGAGGGACAGATGACACGAAAACGTTGAACAAGATCATCTGTCCCTTTCTGCCCTATTTCTATGGCCTTCCCAAAACTCATAAACCTGATATTCCTCTTCGTCCTATCATATCCTCAAGAGGTTCTGTCTCTTATTCTCTTGCTTCTTGGCTGGCCAAAACCCTCACTCCCTTTCTTGGTACTTTTTCTCCTGCCCACCTCCGTCACTCTCAAGACTTCATTGAACGGGTTCGCTCTCTCCCAACCTGTAAGATGCTTAGTCTTGACGTTGAGTCCCTCTCCACTAATGTCCCTCTTGATGTCCTTAAATTTCTCAGATGTCATTCTTGATTTTATCCGCCTTTGTGTGGACTCAAATTCCTTTTCCTTCCAAAGTAAATATTCTCAAACTTTCGGTGTCGCTGTGGGCTCTCCTCTGTCTCCTGTTCTTGCTAATCTTTCCATGTTCTTCCTACTATTGATGTGAGCCCTTCACTTTGGCTACGCTATGTAGATAATATCTTTGCTCTGTGGCCTCATGACTCCAGTCTCTTCCAACCATTTCTTGATGCTCTTAATAATCTTGTCCCTTCCTTTAAGTTTAAAGCTGAATGGGAATCTAATTTCTTGCTTCCTTTCCTTGATGTTCATGTCCACCGCTCAGATACAGGTGTACCGCAAGCCTATGCACAGTGGCATGTACATTCAGTACTTTTCTTATCATGCTTCCCTTGTCAAGAAAAGTGCTCTTATCTCCCTCTTTCTCCGTGCTCTCCGTATTTGTGATACTCAGTTCTTTGAATCAGAAATTTTCACTTATCATAATTAATTTTTTCCTGTCTTGGCTACCCTTCCCATTTCATAGACTCTGCCTTCTCATGTGCTAAACGGACTTTCCTCTCTCCCAAACTCTCTACTCCTGTGAACTCTCTTGTCCTCTGCCTTCTCTACATTTCCGGTCTTTCTAATCTCAACAACTCTCTCCGTTCCTTAGAAATCAAACTCACTTTTCGCCAGAATTTTCGCACTAATCTAGTTCATACCTCTCCTCCCTCTATAAATGTTCCTGGTGTCTTCTCCATTTCTTGTTCCTCTTGTCCTCTTCAGTACTTTGGAGAAACTGGCCGATGTCTTTTTGACAGACTTAGGGAGCACAAAAGTAGTGTTAGGCTTGCCGACAACCACAATGCTCTTTTCTGTCACGTCAGAGGTCACAGTCATCCTACTGACTGTTTTATCTGCTGAAACTGTCTACTCTACTTCTAACTTTCTTAGTCTTGACTATGTCGCTTTAGATGCCTTCCTTTCCCATTACATTGTAAGATGCTTCAAACTTCAGAACACCCGTGACCTAACCACTATTACCTCTCTGGATCTCGTCAATGTCTGCTGGCAAATATATACTCCGTCCTTCTCTCCTTTATGTCAGTGTGACTTTGTAAATGGTCCAAGTCGGACCGAAACGTCGTCATAAGCTCTCTTCTAAGTGCAGGTTATTTGTGTATAAAATTTAAAGATACCCCAGCAATGTTTTCGGTATAATAAATTTAAGACGGGAGTAATCGAATTTAATTTAACGAAAATCGCGTGTATAAGTTTAGGTTATGTTGGAAAAATTCTTGATTTAAGGAAATGGAGCTAGCACAGTGGGATAGCACCTGGGCAGGACCAAAAATCTAGCCATTTTATGAAAAACTCGAGAAAACAAATTTGATTCGAGGAAACAGAGCTAGCCGTATCGGGATATCCCCATTTTGGGAGATTGAACTACCGACCAAGTGTTAGCCATAGGAAGACTATGGTAAGTTAAACCGTACGACTTTGCTTGTCTCTCCAAGTGTATTATCGAATATTTAGAACCTAGCTTTAGCTGTCACCTAAGCGCCGTCTGCTATAGCCTCATCCTGGTTTCCTTCCATTTTCCTTGTTACTTAAAAGTTGATAATCATCGTTGATGAACGAAAAACTGCTCATTTTTAATTTACAATGTACCAAACCTCTTGTTGCTTTCACTAACATTGTTCCACAGCTCACAACAACGTGAAGGTGTTCATCACACACGGTGGTCTCCTCAGTATGCAAGAAGCCATCTACCACGCCACGCCACTCCTCGCTCTACCTATCTTCGGTGACCAGCCCAGGAACAGCATGTTTATTAAGAACTCTGGACTTGGAGACTTTTTGATATGGGAAGAACTTACTACGGACATGATCGTTAACGCTCTCACCAAAATTCTTAACGAACCTAAGTACATAATTTTTTTAAGGCTAATAAAGCGAGAAAAATTAATACCACACCCTCTATAGTGAGAATTTTTCTCTGGTTACGTAACTAAGTTCTTTATTCATTCTTCTTATCCACGAAAGTTTGTATATTTCAAAATTGTTTTTTTTTTTAATAAAAAAAACACTTTCTTGATCTAGACGATTAAAAAATAAAAGCACAATCACCGTCATTTATTCAATAGCTGTCTTATCAAGAGAGCAGATTGTAACATCCACAAGTATGCTTAGTGCAGCCACTGCTTAGTGCAGCCACTGCTTAGTGCAGCCACTGCTTAGTGCAGCCACTGCTTAGTGCAGCCACTGTTTAGTGCAGCCACTGTTTAGTGCAGCCACTGCTTAGTGCAGCCACTGTTTAGTGCAGCCACTGCTTAGTGCAGCCACTGCTTAGTGCAAACCACTGCTTAGTTTCAGCCACTGTTTAGTGCAGCCACTGCTATGCAGCCACTGCTTAGTGCAGCCACTGCTTAGTGCAGCCACTGCTTTTGTGCAGCCACTGTTTAGTGCAGCCACTGTTTTTGTGCAGCCACTGCTTAGTGCAGCCACTGCTTATGCAGCCACTGCTTAGTGCAGCCCTGCTTAGTGCAGCCACTGCTTAGTGCAGCCACTGCTTAGTTGCAGCCACTGCTTAGTGCAGCCACTGCTTAGTGCAGCCACTGCTTAGTGCAGGCCACTGTTTAGTGCAGCCACTGTTTAGTGCAGCCACTGCTTTGTGCAGCCACTGCTTAGTGCAGCCACTGCTTAGTGCAGCCACTGCTTAGTGCAGGGCCCCTTTTAGTGCAGCCACTGTTTAGTGCAGCCACTGTTTAGTGCAGCCACTGCTTAGTGCAGCCACGCTTAGTGCAGCCACTGCTTAGTGCAGCCACTGGCTTAGTGCAGCCACTGCTTAGTGCAGCCACTGTTAGTTTCAGCCACTGTTTAGTGCAGCCACTTTTAGTGCAGCCACTTTTAGTGCAGCCACTGCTTAGTGCAAGCCACTGCTTAGTGCAGCCACTGCTTAGTGCAGCCACTGCTTAGTTGCACCACTGCTTATGCAGCCACTGCTTAGTGCAGCCACGCTTAGTGCAGCCACTGCTTAGTGCAGCCAACTGCTTAGGGGCAATCACTGTTTAGTGCACCACTGTTTAGTGCAGCCACTGCTTGTGCCGGTACTGCTTAGTGCAAGCGCACTGCTTTGTGCAGCCACTGCTTAGTGCAGCCACTGTTTAGTGCAGCCACTGCTAAGTGCAGCCACTGTTTAGTGCAGCCACTGTCTAGTGCAGCTACTGTTTAGTGCAGCCACTGCTTAGTGCAGGTACTGCTTAGTGCAGCCACTGCTTAGTGCAGCCACTGCTTAGTGCAGCCACTGCTTAGTGCACACCACTGTTTAGTGCAGCCACTGCTTAGTGCAGCCACTGTTTAGTGCAGCCACTGTTTAGTGCAGCCACTGTTTAGTGCAGCCACTGCTTAGTGCAGGTACTGCTTAGTGCAGCCACTGCTTAGTGCAGCCACTGCTTAGTGCAGCCACTGTTTAGTGCAGCCACTGCTTAGTGCAGCCACTGTTTAGTCCAGCCACTGTTTAGTGCAGCCACTGCTTAGTGCAGCCACTGTTAGTGCAGCCCCGCTTAGTGCAGCCACTGCTTAGTGCACCACTGCTTAGTGCAGCCACTGCTTAGTGCAGCCACTGTTTAGTGCAGCCACTGCTTAGTGCAGCCACTGCTTAGTGCAGCAACAGTTTAGTGCAGCCACTGTTTAGTGCAGCAACTGTTTAGTGCAGCCACTGCTTAGTGCAGCCACTGCTTAGTGCAGCCACTGCTTAGTGCAGCCACTGCTTAGTGCAAACCACTGCTTAGTGCAGCCACGCTTAGTGCAGCCACTGCTTAGTGCAGCCACGTTTAGTGCAGCCACTGCTAGTGCAAGCCACTGTTTTTGTGCAGCCACTGTTTAGTGCAGCCACTGCTTAGTGCAGCCACTGTTTAGTGCAGCCACTGCTTAGTGCAGCCACTGTTTAGTGCAGCCACTGTTTAGTGCAGCCACTGCTTAGTGCAGCCACTGTTTAGTGCAGCCACTGTTTAGTGCAGCCACTGCTTAGTGCAGCCAATGTTTAGTGCAGCCACTGCTTAGTGCAACCACTGCTTAGTGCAGCCACTGTTTAGTGCAGCCACTGCTTAGTGCAGCCACTGTTTAGTGCAGCCACTGCTTAGCGCAGCCACTGTTTAGTGCAGCCACTGCTGAGTGCAGCCACTGTTTAGTGCAGCCACTGTTTAGTGCAGCCACTGCTTAGTGCAGCCACTGTTTAGTGCAGCCACTGTTTAGTGCAGCCACTGCTTAGTGCAGCCACTGTTTAGTGCAGCCACTGCTTAGTGCAGCCACTGTTTAGTGCAGCCACTGCTTAGTGCAACCACTGCTTAGTGCAGCCACTGTTTAGTGCAGTCACTGCTTAGTGCAGCCACTGTTTAGTGCAGCCACTGCTTAGTGCAGCCACTGCTTAGTGCAGCCACTGTTTAGTGCAGCCACTGCTTAGTGCAGCCACTGCTTAGTGCATCCACTGTTTAGTGCAGCCACTGCTTAGTGCAGCCACTGTTTAGTGTAGCCTCTGCTTAGTGCAATCACTGTTTAGTGCAGCCACTGCTTAGTGCAGCCACTGTTTAGTGCAGCCACTGCTTAGTGCAGCCACTGTTTAGTGCAGCCACTGCTTAGTGCAGCCACTGTTTAGTGCAGCCACTGCTAAATGCAGCCACTGTTTAGTGCAGCCACTGCTTAGTGCAGCCACTGTTTAGTGCAGCCACTGCTTAGTGCAGCCACTGTTTAGTGCAGTCACTGCTTAGTGTAATCACTGTTTATTGCAGCCACTGCTTAGTGCAGCCACTGTTTAGTGCAGCCACTGCTTAGTGCAATCACTGTTTAGTGCAGCCACTGCTTAGTGCAGCCACTGTTTAGTGCAGCCACTGCTTAGTGCAGCCACTGTTTAGTGCAGCCACTGCTTAGTGCAGCCACTGTTTAGTGCAGGTACTGCACTTCCTTTGTCTGGAATTAGAATCCGGCTAATTAGTTTTCATAAATAAATTCAAAAGTGTTACCCTAAGCTTTCCTAAATTTACAGCATTTAACTCTGACCTCCTTATTACCTGGTGTCTTTCTAGGACCACATTTCCTTGAAATATTTGCTAGTGTCACCCACTGTCACCTTCAGTTCATTCATTATTACTTCTCTCATCGTCTTCCCCTTACTTTTACTGTAACTACGCCTAAGTAATGATCTGGACACTCATATCAGGATGTCCAGCACTTATTAATGTACTTTCTCTAGAGAAAAGTATTGCCTGTTTCTAGAAGTTTTAGAGTAGCTTAATTAGAGGCCTCCCATTATCATTTCCTCTGGCATTTTAAACATACGTTTTATGGCATCTTCAACAGTTTCCTCACTTCAGCATTTTTGTCACTAACAAGAGATATTTTACTACTTGGTTCAAAACTCCCTATAGTCTTGTACAGTCAGCTCAGCCCGGGGAATATTCACATTGCTATATCATCTTATATTCCACTTAGGTTCTAATCCTCATCTGTACTGAATTTGATGACTTGAACCCCATCTTTTTTCCATAAGACTCACGAAATCGTAATGACACGATTGCAAACAAACCATACCATACTCTCTGACCGCGGGTTCAATCCCGAACGGAGTATGGTTTTTTTTCCCTTAACTAATTATTTAATATTTTTGCCACCTCTTGTTTTCTCTATAACTTGTGTAGGTAATCTTTCAGATTTTCTCACTGTACTTGTTCACAGGTATAAGGAAAACGTGCTGAGGATGTCAGTGCCGCTGCGGGATCAGCCTGTATCACCCACGGAGCTGGCAGTGTTCTGGACGGAGTACGTCATCCGTCACAAAGGTGCTCCTCAGCTGAGGTCACCAGCGGCACAGCTCTCCTGGGTGGAGTTCCTCATGCTGGACGTGATCTTCCTCCTCCACCTGGCTGTGATTGTCCTTTTATTTATTCTACGTCGCATCTTCCGAGTCATCACTGCTAAAATCTTAGGTAGTAGTGGCAAAATGAAGGAGAAAAATGATTAGCATTGCCTTTCTTGTAGGCAAGAGTAGATTGTGGTGTAAGTTATTCTGTTTTCAGCTTTTCACTTATACTTTTACCTTTTACTAATCTGTCACTGGTTATGCCAGAGTGCCGATAAGTATCAACTAATATCCAGGATGACTCGAGTATGGAACACATTCGTACAGCATAATGATGTCAACGAAATAAAGTCAGTTGATCAAATGAAAATGCTGGCCCACAGATGGCTCCAACTACATCCTGTTCCCTACTTGTGTGTCTCATAACAATAAAAATGCTTTCAAATGAGTTAATGTAGGTAACAGCTCTTAGCTTGTCAATAAAGTTAGGAATCCTTAACCTGTAAATAGCTTGTCAATAAAGCCATGGATCCTTAACCTTGTCAAACCCTGTGTAAAAAAAAAAAAAAAAAAAAAATCCATACATGTTTACCTTATCTTTTTTTAGATAATGAATAGTTAATTAGATTTAAATCCTGACGACCACAGATAATAAAGGTGCATATTACTTTTTCATTGCTTGCCAATAAATCATTTATCTTTAAGAAATTGGTTAAATTAAATTATCAGAGCAAATATAATGAGAAATATATACTTTTCAGTGGATGTATCTTGCTGATTTAATTGCTTCTCATTTATTTCCTAAACATACATTTATTTTCACTTCAAATTATATTTTCCGACAATTAAACCTTTTCTTATATTACGAATTAATTGTCATGTAAGAGTTTACATTTTCCTCAAAAAACTTTCATTTTCTGATTACTTTATGAACACTTTCTTGTTATCAGTGAAAATTGCAGAGTGGCAATAGTTCGGGTGTTACCTGCATCTATCATCTGTGTTACCTCTGAGTGGATGTTTTCTTGAGTTAGTACTGCCCAGTATTTGAATACTAAGTTTGTTATAGTGTTTAATTTAGTTAAGGATGAGAGTCTAACAGTATCTGTGGCTAACCTGGGAACCTTAACAGAAGGGAGCAGTGTTCAGAATGAAAAATTTTGTTAATAGTCCGATTTCATTGATTTTTTATTATAAGTTAAGAATATGGTAACTAGTATATACATGAATTTTCAAGAAGTTTACCATGAAAAAAAGAAAAGGAAAAAATAAAATAAAAATTTTTGATATGGCACTCAATGGTAAAATTCCTGCCAAAGAATGTTCTATTTTAGTTTACATGAAGAATTGCAGGTTAAATAAGAAACATAGATAAAGAACTGAACGTTGTATCATTATATTGTATCCTCTCAAAATTCTTAATTTTGCATATTTTCATTATCATTCTCTCGCATTTTAAAATAAATAAAATATTAAAGGTAAAGTCTATTAGAAATTGGCTTTGAGCATTTGTAAAAATCATGACAATGCATTCACGAATAACGAAGAAAACCTTACTAATAGGACAATAACTTACTTATGAGAAAATTAATTAAACTTTTGTTATGCCCCTCTCCACAAAGTGGGCAATAAAGCAATAACAGAGAACAACAGACCGATAGTGCTAACATCCCACATCATAAAAATCTTTGAAAGGGTTATAGATGCAAGATTGCCACTCATCTATATATCCAGGTCAACATGGGTTTAGAGCAGGTCGTTCCTGCCTGTCCCAACTACTGGACCATTATGACAAGGTCCTGGATGCTCTAAAGGACAAAAACGCAGATGTAGTATACAAAGACTTTACAAATGCCTTTTACAAGTGTGACCATGGTGTAATAGCGCATAAAATGCGTGATAAAGGAATAACAGGAAATGTCGGTAGATAAATATATAATTTCCTAACAAACAGAACACCATTAAACGCCATTAAAGTCTCAGGTGGCTATGGTGAAAGGCTCTGTTCCACAAGGCACAGTACTCGCTCCCATCCTGTTTCTCTTCCTTATGTTTGACAGGCAGATGACATCCTAATTTGCATGTCAGTGTCTTTCATTAAAGACAATGCAAGACTCCAGGCGGACATCAAGCAAATCTTTAAATGGCCCGCAGAAAACATCATGAAGTTCAGTCAGGAGAAATTTTGATTACTCCGATATGGAAAACGTGAGAAAATAAAACTACAGTACATGCGTACTTTCTTGGGGTTCTGAAAAATTTTTATGCACGGTTTACCCAAACCTTACTGACTTACGGCATCTTACCGATTTCCCTTAAAAAGTCTGTGAAGGAACCTCTTGAACTTTTCCGAAGTGCTGGGGAAAAGTTTAATGAATTAAAAGTTTTTTCGAAAGCCCTTTATTAAGATTCCAGATATTAAAAAAACATTTTGCTTAAAACTGATCCCTAAAAAGGCTTGGGTGCGGTTTTACTACAATACCATGGGACCCCCCTTCCTGTATGCTTCCTAAGCCGGAAACCCTTCCCCAAAACAGATACTCCACAATAAAAAAGGAATGTTTACCCCTTGTGTGGGGATTGATTCAGTGGAAAATTATAGTTACGAAAAAACCGCTGATCTTCCCACAGAAAAAATTTATCATACTGGAAGAAATGAATGAACCAGTTGATTTTGTGGTTTTTAGATCGATAGGCATTATGAAAATAACCAAGCCCACAGGGGGTCTCAGTTATAACCAATATTTGGACACTGCAAATAAAAAGAGACGTTTTGGGTTATTTTTACCATGAAATTTAAAAATCCCCCACATCTGCCTAGCAATTATCCATGGCTCCGGACAAATGAAAGCAAAAATAAGAGCTCGGGAAGAACCAAGTACTGACGTCTTGATAATTTTTAAAAAGAACATTTGGGACAATAAATTCATTGAGGAAGAGTCAAATAAGCAAAGACAAAAAGCTATTATCTCCCGCCCCAGGGGTCAGAAAAGATTCTGAAACCACCCACAGTGTTGTATACAATTACAGCGCACGTCAAATAAAGATGTAGCCCCCTTAAATGACTTTTTCGTGACCGGACCCTCACTAACTGAGAATTGGGGAGACGTTTTATAAAATTCCAAAAATTCACAAGTCTACCGGGGCTGATTTTTTCCAAAGCTTTCTTAAAAATAGGACTCAAGAAAAAATAGGATTAACTTGATCTTTGGCCTGAAAACCACTGACCCAAAGCCCTGTGAAAACTTATTTGTTTCAAATCATTTTATTTGGTGCAAATTCTCTCCTTCTTCTAAAGTACTCTAAAAACATTGAAGAAACTTAAGTTCTTCAAAAAAATCTTAAAGAAAAGTTTCTTGTGGGCAATCTTCAAGTACTGTAAAAAAGGGAGGATTTAAATCCTTATACGAGAAGCAACAAGGAAATAAAGAAGCAAAAATTTCCTTAAGGATGTGGGGTACAAAATTCAAACAATTAAGGGACTTTTTAAAGAAATTTCCCTGAACGGGAAATTTTCCCGTTGAACAATATGCTGGGGCTTAATTGGAAATCACAGGAAATCTTTGATCTCAAAAAGGGTAAACAAAAAAACATGCAGTAACCACTAAAAAAGTTTCTGTTTGAGGTATCACAATGTTTTTATCCTCTAGGACTCGTCCACCCAAATTTTATTATTACTTTAATTCTTGCTCACCTGAGAGGGCCTTGTCAAATTTCATAGTGGAACCCCAGACCCCCCAATGACCCCAGTTGGTTAGGGGAGTACTTTTGGCCTGGCGCTTGATACTCTTGTGGCGGCACCCCGAGTCCCCGTTCCACTTTATTTTTTCTCTATATTTTTTTTAAAACCAGAAAGGTCTAAAAAAAGGGGTACCAATTTTTGTGTAATGTCAGGATGGAGCCCACAAATTAATTCACCTCCAGGGAAAAAGTCAGCACAACACCAGGGGCCCGCACCCAAACACCATCACCAACACCATTACCCCCACAACAACATACCAACACTTCACCCCCTATCACCAACCTTTCCCAAAACTACACCCAAAACCCCACCAAAACTTCACCAACCATCACCAAACCTCACCAACAACACCACTCCCTCCCACATATGTTCATTTTATAAGGGAAAAAAAATAAAAACCGTAGGAGTTTTGCAGAGTACGGGGAAAAGAAAAGCATAAGAAGCAACAAAAAAGCCTCTCACCAGCATCAAGGCCCCCTCACCAGCATCAAAAGGGCCTCTCAACAGCATCAAGGACCTTTCCCTTTTCTAGTTGGTGATATAAATCATCAAAATTTTAATAACGATTTCTTTATTATAAAATTGCACACGAAACGAAAATTTAAGTTGAATATGTTTCTCTTCTTGTTCCTTATCTATATTAAAATTTCATTATTTTCTATGCAAAAAATTGCTGGCGTGAAGTGTATAATATAAATTAGGGAAGTAATATTCATTCTTCTCTTATGTGGCATCAGAGACAATACTTATAACAGTGTTTTATCAGCATTCGTTATTTTAATTCAAACTGTCCGACTTCAAACTTAAGACTCGTGATGCACCAACCTTGTTGGTTGTTTCTACGTTGTTTTCACCACCGGTAAGAAGAACAGTTTCTGATCTTTTTTTAACTTCCCATAAAAAGGGTTAAAAATTTGAAAATTTTTCCAACAATTTAATAAATTTTTTCCGTTAATTTATTTTCCTAATTATGGGAAAATTGGGTTAAAAACTTGGGGAAAATCAATAAGATACAAGTTAATTTTGGGCATCTAAACGTGTGTTTTTGTTGTTTTAACGCATAGAATTCTGAAAAAAACTTCTATGTAAAAAAAACGATTAAAATATAAATAATATTTTTCCAAAATTTTTTTTCTTTTAATTAAGAAATTAGATTTTGGAAAAAATTTAAACAAAGTTGGGAACTCTCCTTGTATTTAGGAGAAACGCTGTGAAATCAAAAAAAGAGGAAATGGGGAAAAAAAAGAAAAAAAAAAAATTGAAAAACGACA